CTCCTTTCTTTGAAATCTATATGTCTGCACTGAATCAACTTTTTACATGTGAACAAACAGTAAAGTGTTTACTGAGAACTGTGATAAAGAAATATCAATATTTGATATTAAGAGAATATGACAGTGATCTATGATGTAATACCACTCTATTGTTAATTAATTATATCATACTCTGATTATTAATCTATCATACATTGTTAAATCATACTATTAATTCCATATAATCATATAATAATGATTTAGAAAACATCAAACATTGCAATTGTTTTTTTATACATTCATGTTTTACCGATCTTAAAAAATCAGAAGACTAAACGTTAAAGGGATAATATCATCTCTTTGACCAATCGCCATTTTTTTTTTACTATCGTATCTTAGTCTTAGACACTGGAATTTTTTAATCTAAGCTAATCAATAATAGTGTTCATTGCTCACCATTCAAATTTGAGCCTTTAAATCCATGTGTATCAAACAAGACTTATCTGCATTTGAAAGTTAAAATGATGACTCATCTTCTCTTGAGGCTCTGTCATTTATAGAAAAGACAAAGAAATAGAAAGTGAATTTTCAGATATTTCTAGTACTATTTACTTATATTCAAGACCCAAAAATTGGCGAATCTGTCCCTTTGCATATAGATCTATTCTTAATAAAATCACTAACTGTACTTTAAAAATCTTGAGATTGAGATCTCTGAAGTCCAAACATCTGATTTTGTTCCAAAGGAGAGTAATTTTTTGGAAAAATATCAGTTTGTCTCACATGTCCATAATTAATTCATAATTAGCTAAATTAGAAGAGAAATTACAATTCCAATGAGTGACCAATCAAGAAAAGTCAATGAGTCTTTTTATTTATGAAAATGAAAATACATTTATGAATAGAGAGTAGAGGTGTTCTAATGACTTGGAAAACTACCAGTCCATAATTAATTCAGTAGCTAAATTAGAAGAGAATTACCAGCAGAATTCCAGTGAGTGATCAATCTAGAAAGGTCAATGTGTCAATGTGTACATACATGGACATTTATGATTGGTTAAAACTCTTAATTATATGCAATAAAACGTAATGATATGATTAAGAATTCATGATAATTCATTGGAAACACCAATAAATCAAATAGTTTGCTTAGTTTGACACTAAAAAATTAGGAAATCCATCTTTAAGGCACCATCCAAGCTTACTTGAGTGAGCAAAAACTTAATGTTTTTTTTTGCAGTGCAATACTTCAATGTCATTGAGTGTGACATATCATTTTAAAAAGTTGTTTTTACTATGTACATCTTCATACATGCTTATATGTTCTTTTGAGTATATCTTGAAAATAGATGTATTTGGTGCGTGAACATGTAAAAGTCTTTCTAATCATGGCAAATGTCTTGATATAACTCATTAGCATTTATAAAACCTGCAATTTCAAAACCTATTTTTAAAGGGACACATGCACCATTTAGGGGGTTGGTTTGTGTCTTGAACATATGTAAATAATCCTCAGTAGTACTTGTAATGTACAAAAATCACATAATTCCTATAAATAATATTTCAAACTAGGAATTTCTTTGCTATAGATATCTTTTCTATATATAGCAGTATCTCAATAAAAGACGACTTGTCTTTTCAACTTTGGATAATTCTGGACACACAGGGATTTGAAGGCTCAAACTTTGACAGTGAGCTGTGAACACTATTTTTGATTGACTTAGCTAAAAAATTCCTGTTTCTGAGACTAAGGTATGATAGTTCAAAAAAATGGTGCAACTGTCCCTTTAAGGTATTCTTGAATAATAAATGTAACTGTTTGCATTATTTATAAACGGAACATGTAAAAACAAAGAGCATTTTTTAACTGAAGACAAAGACATATTCTTCTTCTCTAGACAAGAATTATTCTAAAACTTGCCATATTTCAACACCCTTTCATAATATACTAAATAAACAATCATATACTCACTCTTACATCAACACCTCATATGTTAGTTTAACTTTCAACCAATTTCTATTACAGTGTTTTTCGGTACGAAAACTAATATTTGAATAGATTATGTACATAAATCAGACTTGCCATGTATGATTTAAATATAAATGTGCATACTTGGTTGACATTATTCGAAATGTATGCAATATGATTTATTGAAAATGTATGCAGTATGATTTATTGAAAATGTATGCATCATGATTTATTGAAAATGTATGCATCATGATTTATTGAAAATGTATGCAGTATGATTTATTGAAAATTATGCAGTATGATTTATTGAAAATGTATGCATTATGATTTATTGAAAATGTATGCATCATGATTTATTGAAAATGTATGCATCATGATTTATTGAAAATGTATACATCATGATTTATTGAAAATGTATGCAGAATGATTTATTGAAAATGTATGCAGTATGATTTATTAAAAATGTAAGCAGTATGATTTATTAAAAATGTATGCAGTATGATTTATTAAAAATGTATGCAGTATGATTTATTAAAAATGTAAGCAGTATGATTTATTAAAAATGTATGCAGTATGATTTATTAAAAATGTATGCAGTATGATTTATTAAAAATGTATGCAGTATGATTTATTAAAAATGTATGCAGTATGATTTATTAAAAATGTAAGCAGTATGATTTATTAAAAATGTATGCAGTATGATTTATTAAAAATGTATGCAGTATGATTTATTAAAAATGCATGTCCACAATCACAATTGTTAAAAGCACTTTTTTTTTTACTTTTATGATTTAGTAAATATTTGAATACTACCTATTAGAATGGACATAAAATTTAAAGTTTCAACATTGGTTTCATCAGTTGGACATGACTAAAGAATAGAATCTCTATATAAGATGATATATCCATTAAACTAAATAATTATTAAAACACATTTCTAAGTATGTTTCAAAATTACTTAAGTTTGATAAATAATTACTTAATTTTATTTTTAGCAAAACTTACACATTTCAATTTTTTGGTCATCCTAAGATGTAGTATACCTTTAAAGTCATATGGTTATTGAAATATTTGTTTCCCCAGCTACAGCTCAGAAGCTCAATTTCAGCTTTCCATTTCGCTTTTCAGAATACAAATCTGACGTCTGGTTTGTCTGCACTAAAAAAAAGAATGTCATGAGGGCAATAACTCTTCATTCTATGACTGTAACCCACTTTCATCAAAATTAGTTACTATGTTGATTCTAACGCATTGAGTGGGAAAATGTAAACATTTGTGTGTATGGGTGTACGTGGGCGCAAACAATATTTGTCAAATTGAACGCATATGATTTAAATCACGAAAAATTTAAAAAAAAAATTGTTTTCAACTGCCATAATTATTCCAACAAAACAAAAGATACAAAAAATTCTACTGTGACATTTTTTCCATGAGAAATTGCCTGTCATAAAC